CCCTGGCAAAAAGCTTAAAGGAAGCTGCTTCTTCTTTTGCAGGTGGCGCTCAGTTCCTTCCTGACAGCAGCTTTGCTGGGTTGTCAAAGCCTTCCAAAAAGCGCATGCCTTCGTTGCTTTAAAATCAGAGGCAGAATCACAGAACTGTGGATTAGGGAGGGAGCCCCCAATCCAACCCCCTGCAATTAAGGAATCCTGCCCACAGCCATCCCTGTTCCCCAGCCCTTATATTAAATGTTCATAAATGTACCAAGCAAACACATACATAAATATATGAACCACGTGTCTGAAACCCGCAGAAAAAGTCCTGAAACCATTTTCTCTCTCCCCAAAATTGACCTCAAATATTTCTCTGCAAGGTCGAAGGAAATGGGGAGCCTCCCCATTGTCTCTTTGCTCACAAATCCTGTCTCAAGGGCATATTTAAGATATGAATAGGGTGAGCCTGTGACCTGGATTCAGGAATTGAGTAGTTATCATAACGAAAGAGTGGCCAGGATACCCAGGTAATCCAATCAGGTAACCTGGCAGACAGGATAAAAACAACGCACTCAGATTTCTGTTGTAGACCACCTTTTTGTGATGTATGTATGATGTATTCGGGGGTGGTCTTGGGCTACACCCCTTCTCTGATGTATGTATGATGTATTGGGGGTGGTCTTGGGCTCCAGGGTGGGCAATTCAAAAGTCTATATAAGGACTTGCACACCTTTGTCCTGGGTCCTCCTCCTCTCTCCTGCGTCTGGGGGGAGCACCCTGTTGCAACAGCTTTAATAAAGGTTTTCTCTGCAAGGAGGGAGGAGGTGGGGGAGCCTCCCCATTGTCTTTTCCTTCACAAATCCTGTCTTAAGGGTATGTCTGTGTATGAAGAGGGTGAGCCTGTGACCGGGCTCAGGAACAAAGTATTTGTCATTACAAAAGACTGGCCAGGCTCCCCAGGGTATCCAATCAAGTGAGCATTAACAGGTAACCTGCCAGTCAGGAGAGAAGCAACACACTCAGATTTCTGTTGTAGACCGCCCTTTCTGTGATGTAGGTATGATGTATCTGGGGGTGGTCTGGTACTCCAGGGCGGGCAATTCAAAATGTCTATATAGGGGCGGGCACACCTTGGTTCTGGGTCCTCCTCCTTTCCTGCTTGTGAGGGGAGCACCCTGTTGCAACAGTTCAATAAAGATCAGGCTTATGAGCTGCTTTGCTTCTCAATATTCTCTGGTTGGCCTCTGTTCTTTTCTCCTACTGATGCACAACCTACAAAGGACTCTATATGGGCTCTTGGGTACCCTGTAAGGGAATAAAGGCAGATTTTTTTTACAACAATGGCTATTAGCCAGGATGGCTCTGATCTACCCCAATGGTAGAAGCAGTAATGCCTCTGAATACCACTTGCTGGAAACCGCAGGAGGGGAGAGGAATTTTGCATTTTTTATATTGTAATTCTATGTTGTGAACTGCCCTGAGACCTACGGGTATAGGCTGGTATACAAATTTGATTAATACAATGGTACCTCTGGATGCGAACGGGATCTATTCCGGAGCCCCGTTTGCATCCTGAAATGAACGTAACCCGCATCTGCGCATGTGCGGGTCACGATTCGCCGCTTCCGCGCATGTGTGTGACGTCATTTTGAGCGTCTGCGCATGCGTGAGCGGCGAAACCTGGAAGTAATGTGCTCTGTTACTTCCAGGTCGCCGCGGAGCGCAACCCGAAAATGCTCAACCCGAAGCTACTTCAAGCCGAGGTATGACTGTAATAATAATAATAATAATAATAATAATAATAATTAATAATGGTGCTCGAATACTGCTTGCAAGTTTCCCACAGGCACCACTGTAAGAAGAGGATGGTGGACTAGAGGGGCCATTGATGCGATAGGCTCTTCTGACCTTTTTATGTACAAAAAGGAGTTTCTCGGATTATTGTACGTACAAAGAAAGCTCCTCTGGTGGCTGGGAAATTTGGAGAGCATCTCCCAAGAGCAGAAGCAAGGACCACGGTTTGAAACCGTAGCTGCAAAAGGGATCTCTGCAGCGGCTCCGGGAACGCCCTGTCCCAAAGAGCTGCTATTTTGAGCGTGTAAATAATTAACCGCTTTAAGAGCAGGTCTTTTCATCAAAAGAAGGGGAAGAGAAACACACACACTCACACCCGTCACAGGGAGAAAGCAGCCCGAACAAAGATGGCCGGGATATCTTATATCGATTTCAATTAGAGATTGAGCCGTAGTAGAAAACGTCTTGTTTTCCCAAAGCTTGTTTTCCCATTTTGAGATTCGTAGGATGCTGGGGATGCCTGCAAAGCTTTGTTGTAAACAAAAATTGCCCTTTACCCTTATGGGGTATCCAAGAGCCCATATAGAGTCCTTACATAGGTTCCCTATTGGTAGCAGAGAATAACAGAGGCCAACCAGAGAATATTGAGAAGCAAAGCAGCTAGTAAGCTTGATCTTTATTGATCTGTTGCAACACGGTGCTCCCCTCACCTGCAGGAAAGGAGGGAGACCCAGAACAAAGGTGTACCTGCCCTTATATATACATCACAGAAGGAGGCTGTCTACAGCGGAAATCCTGCCCTCCAGGATACCTGATAATGGTCACTGATTGCATTACCTGGGCAGCCTGGCCATTCTTTTATGATGGTTAATACCCCAGTTCCTGAATCCAGGTCACAGGCTTCACCCTATTCATACACAAATACGCCCTTAAGACAGGATTTGCAAGCAAAAAGACAATGGGAATGGTTTCCCAATTTGCCCCCCTTACTGCAGAGTAATATTTGAAGTCATTGGGAGAGTCAAAATGGCCCCAGGATTGCTCTCCCATACTATTTCAGACACATGGTTCATATATTTAGATGCGTGTGCATTTATGAATATTTATTCTATATTTGAGACCTTAAAATTCTTATAGCACTATCCTTGACAGATGGCTACCCTACTTCTGCTTAACCTGTAGACCCCTGTAGGGACACTGCAATGATTTCATCAATGAAGGTACTAAAATTTCCAGCCATGGCCCCGATTCGAGTACCAAATCGGGGAGGCAGGACACCACAGGCTTGCCCCCTGGCCCCTGAAATCGCACCCTCGGAACCAATGTACGATTGGTCTTGTTCTTGCTTTATATCAGGCACCCTGTCTACAACTTCATTAACATCCATCTACAACTTCACTAGCATCTCTTGGTATTGTGAACAACACCGAACTTACCTTTTTTTGGTATCTTCATGAACTTACCTAAAAAGATAAAGAAAACAAAAGACTGAGTTAAGCATTCGAAAAATCTATTGAAACCAGACATTATAAGTTCATCTTAGACTGGGTAGTTTGCAAGTTTCTGTGGCTTTGCATAAGACTTTGTATTTTTCTCAGAAGATTGATAAAGAATGTATAATTGCACGAGTCATACTACTATCAACAGCACAGGTTGCATTTTTCTATCATTTCAGGGATCGGCAAGGCTTACTGGCCATGGGCCGGACCACTCCTGCAGAGATCGTACGTGGGCCGGACTGGTGCACCGTGACGCCGGAAACTGCATGTCCCTGGTGCCGGAAATCACTGCACAGAAGTGATTTTCAGTGTCTGGGCATGCGCAGAAGCGATTTTCGGTATCTGTGCATGTGCAGATGCGATTTCCGGAGCTGCTCAGCGAGTCCCTGCACCGCGCTGCGCCGGTTTAGCGCAGCATGCGGCTCAGTTCGGGGTTGGCTCGTGGGCTGGTAAAAGGGTCTTTGTGGGCCGGATCCAGCCCCTGGGCCGCATGTTGCTGACCCTTGCTTTATATATTGTTTGTTCCGGTTTTAATATCTTTTGTTTTGTCCTGCCTTGGGCCAACTGGGTCATGGCCGGGCTGGAAACATCTGACGTGAACCACTTTCTGCAAGCAAGGGATTTGGCCTACTTTGAGGGGTGGGGGGAGCTGAAAGTGGGGGGCATTGATGATCCGTGGAGGGAAAGGAGCCCTTTTCAACCTGAGAGGGAATGCAGTGCAGTGGTTATAGTGGCGAATTAGGACCTGGGAGATCAGAGTTCAGATCCCCCCTTGGCCATGAAGCTGACTGGGCCAGTCATATTCTCTTAACCTACCTTATAGGATTGTTGCAGCAATTAACTGGGGGTGTGTGTGAACCATGTATGCAACTTTGAGCTCCGCTTTGAGGAGGGGGTACAAAAGCAATTGATTTAGGGAAGCTTTTAATGTTTGATAGGTTATTGTATTTTAGTGTTCGGTTGGAGGCCACCCAGAGTTGCTGGGGAGGCCCAGCCAGATGGGCGGGGTATAAATAATAAATTATTATTATTATTATTATTATTATTATTAGGTCCATCTCAACAGAATGCCCCCCCTCCACCCCCAAGGGATCTGAATAGCCGGCTTTATTTATAGGGAACAGTTTCTCAATCTAAATCTCGTGAGTCCAGAATTTAATTTTAATTTTGCTTCGCAGTATCGATTGGTGACTCATAGCATATGGAGAAGGCTGCGTTCGTGTTGGAACCCTCTGAGGTTCTGTGAATGTCCGGTCTCTCTTTCTCTTTCTATCTGAATCACAATTTGGGTACATTTCTGTTGGAACGGTGGAATGAGAATGTCTTGTCCCCAGAGATCATCTTTTTTGGCAGTACAGTGGTGCCCCGCAAGACGAACGCCTCGCAAGACGGAAAACCCGCTAGACGAAAGGGTTTTCCGTTTTGGAGGCGCTTCGCAACCCGAATATCCCTATCCGCGTGCTTCGCAAGACGAACGCCCATAGGTAAATCTCCGGGGACCTATTTTAAATGCTTGTGGGGGGGAGCAACCCCTCCCCCCCCCCCCCGGCCTTCAGAAGAGGTCCAGGAAGGCGGGCGGGGGCCCAAAGGCTTTGCTCCCCACCGCCAGCATTTTAAAAGCAGTCCGGGATAGCAGGGAAGCGCTTCCCGCTATCCCGGACGGCTTTTGAAGGCAGGAGAGGTCCGCGAAGCCTGGGCGCGCTGATCTCAGCGCGCGCAGGCTTCGGCATGCCGGCAACTCTCCGCAAGCAGCGGCAGCGCTGCCGCTGCTCGCGGAGAGGTCCGCGAAGCCTGGGCGCGCTGATCTCAGCGCGCGCAGGCTCCGGCATGCCGGCAACTCTCCGCAAGCAGCGGCAGCGCTGCCGCTGCTCGCGGAGAGGTCCGCGAAGCCTGGGCGCGCTGATCTCAGCGCGCGCAGGCTTCGGCATGCCGGCAACTCTCCGCAAGCAGCGGCAGCGCTGCCGCTGCTCGCGGAGAGGTCCGCGAAGCCTGGGCGCGCTGATCTCAGCGCGCGCAGGCTTCGGCATGCCGGCAACTCTCCGCAAGCAGCGGCAGCGCTGCCGCTGCTCGCGGAGAGGTCCGCGAAGCCTGGGCGCGCTGATCTCAGCGCGCGCAGGCTCGGCATGCCGGCAACTCTCCGCAAGCAGCGGCAGCGCTGCCGCTGCTCGCGGAGAGGTCCGCGGAGCCTGGGCGCGCTGATCTCAGCGCGCGCAGGCTCGGCATGCCGGCAACTCTCCGCAAGCAGCGGCAGCGCTGCCGCTGCTCGCGGAGAGGTCCGCGAAGCCTGGGCGCGCTGATCTCAGCGCGCGCAGGCTCGGCATGCCGGCAACTCTCCGCAAGCAGCGGCAGCGCTGCCGCTGCTCGCGGAGAGGTCCGCGAGCCTGGGCGCGCTGATCTCAGCGCGCGCAGGCCTCGGCATGCCGGCAACTCTCCGCAAGCAGCGGCAGCGCTGCCGCTGCTCGCGGAGAGGTCCGCGAAGCCTGGGCGCGCTGATCTCAGCGCGCGCAGGCTTCGGCATGCCGGCAACTCTCCGCAAGCAGCGGCAGCGCTGCCGCTGCTCGCGGAGAGGTCCGCGAGCCTGGGCGCGCTGATCTCAGCGCGCGCAGGCTCCGGCATGCCGGCAACTCTCCGCAAGCAGCGGCAGCGCTGCCGCTGCTCGCGGAGAGGTCCGCGAAGCCTGGGCGCGCTGATCTCAGCGCGCGCAGGCTTCGGCATGCCGGCAACTCTCCGCAAGCAGCGGCAGCGCTGCCGCTGCTCGCGGAGAGGTCCGCGAAGCCTGGGCGCGCTGATCTCAGCGCGCGCAGGCTTCGGCATGCCGGCAACTCTCCGCAAGCAGCGGCAGTGCTGCCGCTGCTTGCGGAGAGGTCCGCGAGCCTTGGCTGGACAGCTTTTGAAGGCAGGTGGGGGGACAAAGACTTTCGCCCCCGCCAGCCTTCAGAAGAGGTCCAGGACCTCTTCTGAAGGCTGGCGGGGGCAAAGTCTTTGTCCCCCTGCCTGCCTTCCCAGAGGCTTTAAATTGCCCCGGACAGCGGAGAAGTCCTCCGCTGTCCCGGGCAATTTTAAAATGCCGCCCGCCAGCATTTTAAGATCGCCCCGGACAGCGGAGAAGTCCTCCGCTGTCCCGGGGTCTTTAAAATGCTGGGGGTGGGAAGAAAGCCCTTGTCCCCCCCAGCCTTCAGAAGAGGTCGGGGACAGACTGTCCCCGGACCTGGTCTGAAGTCGGTTTCCCTAGGAACGCATTAATTGATTTTCAATGCATTCCTATGGGAAACCGTGCATCGCAAGACGAAAAACTCGCAAGAAGAAAAAACTTGCGGAACGAATTAATTTCGTCTTGCGAGGCACCACTGTAGATTTGGTTTCTCACCAAGAATATGTAGAACTTTTTTTTGCCAGTGGTGCGGGGATGCGTTTTAGGTAAATTGCTTGATGGAGACTAGTTTTAAGATAAAGATACTTTCTTTTAAAATCTTCGTTTTAAACTTTTAATCTTACTATTATTATTTTTTTAAAAGCCCATTAACATGTAGCACATCATTTTCACAATGCAAATGTAGGTGGAGAACAGTCTTAGTTGATTTCATAAATACGAATGTGTCTTATTCTCAGCAGATTGGTCAACAGAGACCCATAGATTCCCCTGACCGCCCTGTCTCTAACCCCACTGAATGAAAGAATGCCCATTCTCAAAACACAGATGTGTTATAGTCTCCTCTTTTGTAAGGGGGAGGGAGAACTCCTTATTTATTTATAGAAGCATTTCTGTACTGCCATGGCATAAAATATCTGGTCGGTGTGAAAAGATAAAGTATGAAACACCATTGAAAACAATGCAAGTGATCATTAATGTTCCAGAATAAGTAAAGAACTTTGAAGTAGCTGCGAAGGGCTGTGTTGGCATGAAAAGGTCTTCAATAGGTGCCCAACAGTTGAAAAAGTGTATACTTTAACCAGTCTCCCGTTTTCAGAACTTTCCTTTGTCCCTGTCTGCTGGTTATCTCTGTCCTTATGGCAAAAGAGACAAATGAGACACGGACAGGCGGTTTGTTTCTCTCCGCCAACATTGCAGCTAACTCTGAAAAGCTTGTTTTCCTGAGCAACCTCAGCATTCAAGAGCACAAGCGTCCCGGTGCTCACATATGGCCTGTTTATTGCTCATTTATCCTGATTTATTTGCAGGAAGATTGGCGGGTACCCCTAGGCCACTCTGTGGGGCAGCCTTTGCTATCTCTGTGTCCTCCAGATATTTTGGACTAAAACTATATGATTCTAGGAGCACAGTTGAGCTAGCTGGGGCTTATGGAAGTTTTGCTTCAAAACATCTGCCGAACACTGTCTAAGTTTTGCATGTTGTCCTGCTTGCCAAGGTCAGTACCAGAGTTCAGCTGACTTGGGCAGAAGCCCGGAAACTTGAACCTTGTGCCAGGGCCCACTGCCCTGACCCTAGCACTGTGTTTTTTGTTTCTGCTGCACTCTTGGGGGAGAAAAATTAAAAGCGGCACGGGTGACTTTCTATTGTCGCTGCGTGTTTTGGTCTCACAACTTTGGAACGCCCTGCTGATGGATCCGTCGCAGGCTACCCATGCTTCATTTATTTTGGGAGACTTTGTTTATTTATTGGACTTAACACTTGCCTTTTTATTATTGCTAGTTAAGTGAAAAGTTAAAGCGATTTGCCATGCAATGCAAAAATTAAAACTGATACAAAAGTAAAAGCTAAAGTTGTTGGTGCACCCACACCCCAGTCTCAACACATCCCACCCTCCAGATGTTTGGGACTACAACTCCCATCAGCCAGTGGCATAGCGTGGGGGGTGCAGAGGGGGCCCGGCCGCACCGGGCGCAACATCTGGGGGGGGCGCGCTCGCACTCGCAGCTCTCTGCCCCTACTAAAATCCACGGGCTAGGGGGCACAAATTACTTGCCTTGCCCCGGTGTTGTAGCCCAAAGCTCCCAAAAGGAACCAGGTTGGGGAAGCCTGCCCTGAGACCTCCCTCTCCCTGCCTCTATGGACTAGATCATGCTCTCCTATTTCAAATTCCATAAGCAGGAGCTTCCTGGTTTTCTGGGGGGCGCGCAGTGGAAAACATTGTTTCTGAGTTTACAGCATTCTTTCATTTGAACGGCTTCCTTCCTCCGCCTGATCCCAAGTCCCAGGACTTTGCACGCTCCGTACGGCCAGCTACAAACAAGCTACACACACATATATAGTCCTCAGGGTCCTCCATACTATAACAAGGTAAACAAATGACAGGCTGACCTTTTTATTCTCTCTCTTCCGCCCCCCCCCAATAATCCTGGCTGTGTTCAAACCAGTTTCCGCTCCCCAAAGTGTTCCTCCTGCTCCTCCCTCTGCCAGTGTTGTTTAATCCATTTATGCCTCTCTTTCCCCCCCACCAATCTCCTCCGTGCGACACTTTATGACTTTGTAAATCAGCCTGAGCGGCACCAAATCAAATGCTTTCTTCCCGAAGACCCTGATAACGTATGTCTGCCGTTTCAGTCTTGTCTAACCTAACGATTTGGTCGTATAATAAAACCGGATTTCAGCAGATTTGTCAGCCGTGACCTTCGCTTTTTATGAATCTGGGCTGGCTGTCCTCTTGTTAAATTATGCATTTCGAAGTCTTCTGCCATCTTTGGAGGGTTTTTCACCCCCCTCTCTCTTTTATTAGCCGGCCCCTGTCGTAATAATAATGCCGTCTTGCAGCGCCGTTCGGAGGGAGGTTTAAGGATGTGTTTTGGGTGCAAAGGGGAGTTTTATCTCAAAGGCAAGGGGGTGGGGAAACAAAGGCTTTTTTCCTGTTTTGTTTTTATCCGATTTCTGCCTCCCATAGGGATGGACCTCTGTCTGCTGAAGGTTTTTTTGACGTGGCAAGTATCCATGTTGGGAAAACGCTGCACGTCACTGGTTTGGGCCTGTAAAAGGGGCACGGGTGGTGCTGTGGGTTAAACCACAGAGCCTAGGACTTGCCGATCAGAAGGTCAGCGGTTCGAATCCCCGCGATGGAGTGAGCTCCTGTTGTTCGGTCCCTGCTCCTGCCAACCTAGCAGTTCGAAAGCACGTCAAAGTGCAAGTAGATAGATAGAAGGTAAACGGCGTTTCCGTGCGCTGCTCTGGTTTGCCAGAAGCGGTTTAGTCATGCTGGCCACATAACCCAGAAGCTGTACGCCGGCTCCCTCGGCCAATAAAGCGAGATGAGCGCCGCAACCCCAGAGTCGGCCACGACTGGACCTAATGGTCAGGGGTCCCTTTACCTTTACCTAGCTTAGACTCAGCAGAATCCTACCTGGTCCAACCGAAAAGAGACTCTGGGTTCAACAGCGCTCAGTGGGTGTGCCCCCAGCTCATCCGTGAGTTCAAGCCTGGTTGTTTTGTGCTTTTTAAAGTGGCTTCACAATCCTAGTTAAGGAGAGGGATTTTAGCAGCTCGCTTAAGGGGCAGGGATCGCGGGAGCACTGGATTTCCATTCAGGAGGCAGGGAAAGCCGCGCCTGTTGCGCGATATCCAAAGGACCGGAGCGGAGAGTCTCTTGGGTGCGTGTCAGATTTTAGGAAAGCTTGCAGATCTGAAACACACAAGGCGAGGAAGGCAATCTGCAGAAGTCACAGAGGATGCCTTGCTTTCTAGCGCCTACCTGGTGCCCCCTATACGCGTTGGACCACTGATGGCTGATGGGAGTTGTAGTCCGAAGCTTCTGGAGGGGGCACCAGGTTGTCAGAGGCCGTTTTAGACATTTAGCGTTCCTCCTTCTTTTTTTGGAAATTTTATTTACAACATAACATAAACCCCCCACCCCCCCAATACAGAAATCCACCCTAATTAAACGCAAACGTAACATACAATAATACAAACAACCAAATGAAAGACTTCCTTTATCTTGTATTTGGCCTCCTTATTTACTTCTTATAAGCTGTTTCCTTTATGAATCACTATTAAGATTTTTCTAATTATAACTTAAATACAGTGGTGCCTCGCAAGACGAAAAGAATCCGTTCTGTGAGTCTCTTCGTCTAGCGGTTTTTTCGTCTTGCGAAGCAAGCCCATTGACGGATTAGCGGATTAGCGCTATTAGCGGCTTTTAGCGGTTTATCAGCTTATCGGATAAGCAGATAAGTGGTTTAGCGGCTTAGAAAAAGGGGGGGGAAAGGGGAAAAAAACCGCAGGAACTCGCAAGACATTTTCGTCTTGCGAAGCA